CAAAGTAGGTGGGCTTCCAACTTATCTAATGACCATATCCAACTAGATAAGCTAAGAAATAGATGAACTCTCAAGCTCCTAAGGTCGGATTGTTGATTGGTAAAAATCATGGCTCGTTGATCATCAGTATGCTTTTTATGCCTAATTCTATTGAACTGACATTTGAATGGATCTAAGGATGAATTGACCTTGACTAAATGTTTTCACTTAGCTAGTAGGCATATGATCACATAGCAATCACCTCATAATGGAAAATAGTTCATTATGAAAAATTTGGAGAGCATGTGTGGTAGCTCTCCAAACTTGGAGTAATAAAATTAAATAGTTTGATTATATGGAATCAATTAAAAAAAAAAAGAGTCTATTAGCTATCAGATGGTTATTGCTAGGGCAGTGGATTGCTAGGGTTATGGATGATCAAATCTAAACATTAATTCATATTTTAATTTTTTATTAAATTTCTATATTTTTGTATAATAATTTGTTTCTTGGGGCCAAAAATCTTCATTGCTTTCGATCATTCAGTAGAAAATTTCTCACAAATTTGGGTTAATAATTGGCTCAAGAATTCACGCCAACAAAAATTATGTTAAATACATATTTGAATTTACTTTCTTTTATCTTATGGGTTTGGAATTAATTTATAAGCCAAAAGGCACAATTACATACATACCACAAAAATCATGTTATTTACAAATCAATCATCCTCTATCATCCATTTTCCAAGTTCTCACTCAAATATCAAAATACATGGTAAAACCCTAACCAATATTTTTTATTTTTATGAAATTCTCCTTAGTTTGATCGTATCACACGTCATTGCATTAGTTCGGTAGTTCAAAGTAATCACTTAGCTGTTTAATTTATAAATATTAATGTTTCTGGTGGTATGCATGTCAAAAACCAAATCTAAAGATAGATATACACCATTTTTTATGTTTTAGTCCTCTCTAGTCACAACTCATTCTTCTAGGTTAAATATTACTATATTATGAATTGCGATATATAAAACTCTAATAGCCATTGGGCCCACACATTTATGTCGGAATAGATGGAAAGGGATTGGTTCCTTTGTAGCATCAAAATTGTCTCCCCCACTCGAAATTTCAGTACAGTCCAAAAATGCATTTAAGGTAGTCTTATATTCCATGACCTCGCATTACTTCATTTTTTTTTAATTTAAAAATTAATCTCAAAATATTTCAAACTTTAGAATTCTAATTATTTGTATATTTATCTTAAAAGGAATGACCAGATGTCATTATATGAACCCCAGTCATCCTTCATGCGCTTAAGAATTCGAGTACCAAATTCTACACTCTGGGAGAATCGAATCCCAAAACAGAGGGGATTTACAACTGACAGGTAGATGCCCGACTAACTAAACTGAGTAGATGCCAACCGAATGATCTGAGTACGCGGCACTATATATAT